CAGCTTCCTATTTTAATTAAATTTAATTTTCTACATTGCCTTTATATCATGTTCCTAAGCACATGGAGTAGGAAATCTTCAAATGTATCATGCAATTCATGTATAATAATCCTATCAAATATGTCCTAAGAATAGTCCATAAGTACCGGAATAAATAAATCTAAAAATTATATATTGTATCTCTTTCTTTATATATTAGCCAAGGCTGTATTTCATTAAACAGACATTTGTTCAATTTAAAGAATCCAACTTCAGATTCGCCAACCAAGCATGTTCATTTCACAATTTGGAAATACAGAGTTCTTAAAAATATTAAGTTGCAGTGATTAATAATTTGTTTCAGTTTCATCTTGGCTGGAATTTAAATGTTAGGAATTTATGTGACATCAACGGACATACAGTACAGACATACAGACACAAAACAGATGTACAACATCAGCTGCTCAATATGGTATATGTATTTCAATAACTTTCCATTCTCAACGTCTAGTCTGTTAAAAAATGTGATACAATACATGTACATAACCGCAGACTACTGCTTTACACACGTACATCCGAGAATGTCTGATCTCAATGCATGAGCGCATTATCCCAAGATTACTTTTTAATCCTGAAAAAGAGATTTGCTCACTCACCAAATGAGTCATTGAAAAGACAGCAGCAATAGGGTGAACAATGTTGAATAAAAGAGCATATTGAAATAGAACAATGGAAATAGTCAACACTGACCGTACAAAGATACGACTCAATTGTCTGCCAACACGTAATGTTACAAAACTCACATGAAACAATTCACATACGTATGTACAATCTTGGCAAGGTGATAATTACAAAGGTTTGATTTGAATAGCAAAGGTGTGATAAGTCAGATAAACATTAAATGCTAACCAATTAGAACACTATTTGGTTTCAAAGCCTACCCATTAAGTGTTGAAAACTGTCATGAATTAGTATCTGAGCGAAATCAGAGTATAAATATGGCTGCTTTGTGGTTAGAAATGACTGTCAAGGTCTGTAAAGGCAGTCATTGCTTGATATAAAAATCAACAGGGAAACACTGACAGGAACATGGGCGTGTCAGGCATAAGTTAAATATGCGATACAGTATAACGGAAACCCAGCCTTTTTGAGTGGAAATTCCTATAATTGTTTGTGCACTGCAAAGAGAACTA